CCCCAAAACCCCAAAACCCCAAAACCCCTTTATTCGATAATTATTTTGAAAAATAAATGGATAGAGCAGAAGCCTTTGGAACAAGTAAAGTGGTAGTTGACAAGATCAAGGAAAGAAAAATGAAGCAACATCTTAAAGAGATCAGATGTGCTAAGAGCTTGCTTGATAATTCAATCCCCAACTCTATGAGACTCCGTAAAAGCAACCCAAAGAAGGAAAGAATGCTGGAAGAAAGGTATACAGAGATTGAAAGAGCTAATCGAATATTACTTGAAAAAATGGCTAATATTATTGGAAGTAAGGAATATTTGAAGGAAGCAGCCATTTAATCTTAATTTTATAGATAAAAAATTTAAACATCATCGATACAAGCCTAAATCCACTAAATTTAGCTCAAGTTTCTTCATGCCTGGCATAGAAGTAAAGTCATCTCTCAATAGTGGTAAGAGAAAGAGAGAATTAAGTCGCATAAATTTTGAAAATGATAAGCTACTTAAAAGGCTTCAAGACAAGAAGCCAACATATGACATTGTTAGATGGGCAAAAGATAGGAGAAAGAATGAAAGAATCATCCAGAACATTTCAACGTACCCAACTATGACTAGAAAGAGACATCAGAGTGTTCCCAGGAAAAGACTTGTAAACCCCACATTAATCTCTTAGGTAAAAATTTAAGCATGCTGCTAATAAGACCCAAAACATCATGAATAAGAAAGGATTTCAAGGAATTAAGGAATTAAATAATAGTGCAAACGCTAGCAGTGATAACTTCCTTACTAGTCAACCCATTCATGATGTGTTCAACAAGACTAATGCAATAGGTAAGAAGTTTCAGCCTTCTTTAACAATTTTGTGATAAATTTTGTTGCCAAACTTGTTCATTAAGCCAGAGAGCTAGAGCTTGCCTTATTATTAATAAACCAACTTCTTTTGGAGTCTAGAATTTATGTTTAATACAACTAATGATAAATATTACAAAGCAAATCTGCAGAGTTGTCTATGAGCTTTAAATAGTTATTATTCAGGACTAATTTCTCATTAATTCCAATTCTAGACGCAAGTCAGCAGACGATGTATGCAAATAAAGGAAGGATGATTCTGGATTCTAATTTTACTAAGATCAAAAAGAAAATTAGGCCTTTCCCAACCCAGCCAAACTCAATTTCTACTAAAAGAATTCTTCTGTTTGAAAAGAAGCAACGGATAGGCAAGAAAGATTATTTAGTAGAGGTATCTAGGGACAAACTTCATATGTTCATAATTGCTTTCTTGATCGAGAATCCTAAATATTACACATTGCAAATACCAATGAAGCAAGCCTTTAAGCTCTTGCTAGATTTGGAAAATAGCTTTGAAGCCTTAATTGGTCTTCTATATTTCAAGCACAAAAGACTTGTGCTGCCTGATATTTTCAGACCACAGTTTTCACCCAGAAATATGGCAGTAGGAACAAGAACAACTACTAATAAAGACTCACAGCAAAAACGTGCTTTTGATGGTGGGTTTTATGACAAGGGAACCATCTCAGAAGCTACTGCTTCCAGACCAGCTTTAGAAAATGATGAGTTTGTTAAACCTTTAATCGAATCTCAGAACGAAGAAGATACACAAAATGTTGTAGAAACTGGCCACAAGCCTGTAGAGACTACTAAGAAAGATCCTGAAGCATCAAGCCCTGCTGAAGAAGAAAAGGATGAGGAAGATGACCAGTATAACTTTGATTTTGAACCTTAGAAAATATTTCAATCTAGCTTCTTTAGAAAGGGGTTTTGGGGTTTTGGGGTTTTGGGG